CGAGTGAAGCTTCATCGATGGACGAAACTTCGGTGAGAAACAAATATGAATTTCTTTCCATGTTTCTTTTTATTCTGTGTTTATTATCATAATATATCAGAACGTTTTTTTAAATGATATTTAACCACAGTGACGTGTAGTAACGTTATTTCATCAAACCAAAGAATCAGAATCATTTTGATGCTCTGACTTGTTGCATGATGACGAACTTTATAACTTTAGTTAAGTGTGAAACGTTTCACGTCACAATGTCACCAACTCGTCACTTAGCAATGGTACGAGCAGCAGCTAGCTTTTTGTGCTCAGTATTAACATCATCAGGTCATATGGAATAAACTGTACAACCCCCTCCCTGCAGACTATGCTGACCTTTCCTCTCCACCTTCTGTTGATGGTGGTGTCCCTCCCGAATGTCGTGACGATACCTGAGCCCATCTCCATAGAAACCTGGAGCCCCCCCCCCAACCCACCGCCTTTACCGCCCACCAACCCACAGATCGACGGCCCAGGACGCCTCTTTAACCCCACTGGAGACAACATGACGGAGCTGCCCGCCGGGTCCCTGGAGGCCTTCTGCCAGACGTTGCTGCAGTCCTCGGACCCGGTCTCCCCAAATGAGATCCCCTGGTTCTGTCTCTGCACACACTGCCAGAGCACCCAGGGGCCCAAAGGAGACCGAGGAGAACGGGGTCTTCCAGGTAAGGGGAAAAAATAATACACATCTGCAGATAGTAGATAGAAAGTGAAAATTACCATCCAATAAAATACAACAGATTTTTGCCACCTGTGGCAGCACTGAGCTCTGAGCTGATAACCAGGGGTGAAAAAGTAAGATGCAGTCTTATTTTTTATTTGTTTCCACATTTGAGTTTTGAAAGTCTGAGTGATTTATGGTGTTGATTCTGAAGCAGGGTGTAAGTGAGTGTGAACAGTCTCTGTGATTCACTGACAACAAGTCAACCAGGTGAACCTCGCCTGTTGCTTAATGTCAGCTGGGATTGGCTCCGTCCCCCACTGCAACACTGGTATGATGAGCTGCTTAAATAATGGATGGATTCTGAGGCAGGACGGTTCTGGATCACAACTTTGTTGATTGTTTGTCTTATTGAAATGAAAAATAATTGACAGGAAACACGATATGAACCCTGTGAACCATTAATATCTCGCCTCTCGTCTCCTGTCAGGTAGTCCGGGTAGTCCTGGAAGAAGAGGCTTGACAGGGTTCAGAGGTCCTCCAGGTTTCGTGGGCAGATCTGGGATCAAAGGTAAAAAACGTCCTCATTGTTCTGTTCCTACGACTACAATCATCACTTCAACTGCTTTTGATGTTTCTGCTGCTCAGGACAGAAAGGAGACGAGGGTCAGAAGGGACAAGATGGACCCCCAGGACTAGTGGGACACAAAGGGGGCCGAGGTTTCAAAGGTGAGGCAGGGGCCCAAATGTTACAGCTCCTCAGATTCAGGTCAAGGTCCTGACCTGTTTTTTGTTGCTGCAGGTGACAAAGGTGATCAAGGTCTGTCGGGTCACCCAGGGGATCAGGGTCCGAAAGGAGATGATGGAGTCTGTCCAGATACCTGTGAGTCCAGCAATGGCCCCCAAGGACCCCCAGGTCTACCTGGCCCTGCAGGACCCCGAGGTCTGCCTGGTACTCCAGGGCTGCTGGGACCCAAAGGCAATAAGGGTGATAGGGGTGATCTGGGTCCCACTGGTGCCCCTGGACTTGTGGGTGATAAGGGTGATTTAGGGCCCCAGGGGGAGTGCAACTGTACAGATGGAGTAGATGGGAGTCCAGGTCATAAAGGGGAAAAGGGAGACAAGGGGGAACAAGGAGAAGGGGGGGCTGTGGGGCAAATTGGGCTACAGGGGCCCCAGGGAGAACCAGGGCAGATTGGGATGATGGGTCCTCCTGGTCCCTGCATGCCCAGTATCCAGTCAGCCTTCTCTGCAGGGCTGATGTCCAGTTACCCCCCACCCAACACCCCTGTGGTCTTCTCCCACATTATCTATAATGTCCATAACAATTACAACCCCGACACTGGTATCTACACCGCCCCTGTCAATGGAACCTATGTCCTCAGCTATCACCTCACTGTCCATGAACGGGTCCTGAAAGTTGGACTCTTTCATGATCACAGACCAGTTGTTATAACCACTGATCCTAAAATGTTAGGGACCACCTCGCACTCAGTTGTCCTTCACCTGGCCCAGGGAAACAGGCTGTGGATTCAGGTGAAGGATCAGGTCACTAACGGCATGTATGCCGGTTCTGAGACCAGCAGCACCTTCTCAGGCTACTTGCTCCACCCAGATACATGTAATGTGGGTTTAAGTAGAAACTTCATTGTGCCATTGTCCACAGATAATGAAAAATACACCTGGAGAGAAATCTCTGAGACCAGCACCGCCAGTCCCCCCACTACAGCTGCCGGTGGAGGATCCAACTAATAATCAATAAAATGGTCCTTTGGTCCATTTTGGTCGCCTGGTCATCAGGTCACAGGTTATCTTATCTGTAGAGGGTCTGAAATAAATTATGTTAGCTCGTCTTGAAAACACATCTCACCAATCAATCAACAGAGAGAAACACAATGAAACCAGAACCAGAAAAACTCAGCAGTAGACTTTTAACAGAACTGAATATCAAACTGACTCAGAGGAAATCATGGAATCTGTAAAAAGGACTTCTGAGCATGATCACACCTGTCAATCACGATGAAACATCTTTAACCATGAGAAATGTTCTAATTAGCTGAGAACAGAGCACCATGTCCACTGTAGAGGTCACTGTTCTCACTGTAGTTACTCCATGTGCTCATGCTGATGTATGAAGAAGTGAAAGCTGCAGGGGGCGTCAGACTCTCAGACCTCATTTATTAGTTTAACTTTCAGACTCTGTAGTTCCCATTTGTTCCAGATCCTAAAGGTTGTTGTTTCAAATCCTGTGAAGCCATTTTTTAAATCTGGTCGTGTTTAGTGATCTTGGAACCATGTGACCTGTATGTGTGGTTCGTTCTGAGCACAAATAAAAAACAATAAATTATCTTCAACTGAATCTTTTGTCTTTAAATCTGTTTTCTCATAAAATCCGTATTCTTTTTTAGACGTAAGCTTCATTTTTATTCCGTTTTTTGTTTGAGACGTGAAGATAAAATAAAACAAGAACAAACATGAAGCTAATGAAAATAAATGTTTAAAAAAGGTATTATTTTAGATGCTAGCTTCATGTTTGTTCTTGTTGTAGTTAGACATTAGCTTCATGCTTTTTTTTTCGTATTTAGACGCTAACTTCATAGTCTTGTTTCAGTGCAGTGTGTGTGTGTGTGTTTTGTGTCACCTTGTCGTTGTAATAACATCCTGTGTGTTGTTTGTTTATCAGCAGCTGAATCTCAGTCTTTGTCTGTAAACCACTGAAGTTTCCCTTCTGTGTCGCAGCGTCACCTGATGAGCCCATGACACTGATCGTTTAGCATCAGCATTAAGTGATACGGACTCGTCTTTAGATCCACAGGGCGGATTCCTCTAAAGTCTCTGTGTTCTCACAACAATGGAACAAAAGAGTCCATTCCGCCCTGATGTGTTTTCATAGGGACGATATGATCACGACACCTGAGCACCGACCTCCTGAATTCAGGACAAACATGAAACCTCCTGTTTCCCTTCTCAGTTTGAAGAAGACGGGTTTGTATTGACAGAAACAAAATGAATAATAATAAAAAAAATCACATCAGAATCTGGATGTAGATACACACGATGATGTCACAGAACATGTGTGCGGGTCAATTTGTTGCCATGACAACAGCAGAGCTGAAACAAGCAGCTCGGTCCATGTTGATGGATGATTCTACATCTGAATGACAGGTGACATCATCAATCACAACCAGACGTGATGTCACATGTTCGCGTGACAAACACACTTCAGGTGTGTGTTAGAACTACAGGATGTTAACGTGCATACGTTTCCCTGTCTGTTAGTTCTTCAGCTTAATTGAAGAAAATAAATCAAAACAGATGATTATTGATTTGGTTTTTGACGTTCAAGAGAGTTTAATAAAGTTTTCATGGTCAGCTGATGAGGACAAGGAAAAACAGAACACGTGTGTATGGACTGTGCGAGTGTGTGACGATAGAAATGAATAAACAGGAAGTGACATCACACCATGTTATTACTTTCTTCTCAGCTGATGTTTGTTTTTCTTCTAACGGCAGTGTAGCGATTGTTTATTGTTATCTTGCTGTTGGTTTGTTTAACCACACAATGAACTGTGGGTAATTCTCTTTGCTAAAGAACCAGATCACATGATGCTGGTAGTACATACGTGTTCATGACACAGACGTGATCACAACAGTTTGTTTTATTTAGACAGGACGCTCGTTATCAACTAAAAAAAGCTGCTATCATTCGTCAGGAGGAGGTCAGAGGGAGTTCAAATGTCGGGGGAGGTCAAAGGTTAGAGGGAGTTCAGCGGTCAGGAGGAGTTTAAGGAGGGGGAGGTACTCCTTTGACAGCAGGTAAAACTACAGAGCTGCAAGTAAGACAGTTTGTTCCCCATGGCGCCCCCTGCAGCCTGAGTCACAGCTGGATGTAATGTTTGTCCTGAGGGGGGACATGCAGGACATGTCCTGTCTTTGTCTTCAGCTCTGGAAGCTGATAGATGATGGGGACGCTCTTCAGGCCTCAGTAGGAGACTCATCATCGTCTCCGTAGACCACGCCCTTCAGGTAAGCTCGCTTAAAGTCCTCAAACACCATGTCATCAGGTTCACTGAGAGAGAATCAGATCATCAGAGTCAGGCTACATCCACACGACTAAGTTTTCATTTCAAACTCATCTCTGCCACTTATACACCTGCGATCACGTGACTATTCAGAGTCGCTGAAACAGAGAAGTTGGAAATGCTGCAGGTTCGAGCAGGAACTGAGACGTTAGGAAACGATGCCGCTCACAACACAGGGGCAGGGATTAAAACTGATACAGAACGCTTGTGTGGACAAAGATTAAGTTTGAAAATCTTTTAAAATGAAAATGCAGGCATATGGATGTAACCTCAGTGAAGGGGTCTCACCTCTCTTTGACTGAAGAGACGATTGACACAGGAAGTGATGAAAGAGAAAAAAAGTCATGAGTGAAAAAAACTGATTTAATAAAAAACAAATAAACTGACTCTGATGTAAAAAAAAAAAAAGAAACAAAGATTTAGATGTAAAAACATGATTCAACCTGTAACATCAGGATTCAATCAGGGTGCTGAACTATGAAGCAGGCTAACTTCAGGTTTGATTCAGGTTAACTTCAGGTTTAACTCAGGCTAACTTCAGGCTAACGTCAGGTTTGATCAGGTTAACTTCAGGATTGATTCAGGTTTAATTCAGGTTAACTTCAGGATTGATTCAGGTTTAATTCAGGTTTGATTCAGGTTAACTTCAGGTTTAATTCAGGTTTGATTCAGGCTAACTTCAGGTTTAATTCAGGTTTAATTCAGGTTAACTTCAGGTTTGATTCAGGTTAACTTCAGGTTTAATTCAAGTTAACTTCAGGTTTGATTAAGTTTAACTTCAGGTTAACTTCAGGTTTGACTCAGGCTAACTTCAGGTTAACTTCAGGTTTGATTCAGGTTAACTTCAGGTTAACTTCAGGTTAACTTCAGGTTTGATTAAGTTTAACTTCAGGTTAACTTCAGGTTTGACTCAGGCTAACTTCAGGTTTGACTCAGGCTAACTTCAGGTTTGATTCAGGTTAACTTCAGGTTTGATTCAGGTTTGATTCAGGTTAACTTCAGGTTTGATTCAGGTTAACTTCAGGTTAACTTCAGGTTAACTTTAGGTTTGATTAAGTTTAACTTCAGGTTTGATTAAGTTTAACTTCAGGTTAACTTCAGGTTTGACTCAGGCTAACTTCAGGTTAACTACAGGTTTG